CATAGAAATATGTAAAATGGTGTGTTAAAAAGTAGGTGTGTGTCCTACACATCTACTTTTTAACACAGCTGCTGTCCAGCTGTTCTTATCGAATTAAGAGCAACCCAACGTGACGATCGCATAACTAAATTCGGTCGCGGTTAAGACCAAATCACACCGCAATTAATGCCATACTACCATGGAGGTCAATAAGAGGGCGATAATTGAGCTGTCATTTGACTTACAGGATCGGCAACAATACTTCGTACGTCCGAGACTACGTAACCATTGGACATACAAGCAGGCGAGAATAACAATTACGTGGAACTTGTCAGCTATACGCAGAATATGTTAAGTTTTATGAAATATTAGGTCATTTCTTGCCATCTTTTTATTATTCGATCTAACTTAAGCTAAACTACAAAGGTTTACAAGCCTAGACGATGAAAAAATACAAAATTTGATATACAATAGACATACTTTACCGTTATTGTCTCGGTTTATTGTCTGCGCGTAACACGCGAGAAATTTTAATGCCTTATCTAGCTGATAGTGATATACAATTGACTATTATAATAAATTGATGATATTTGATAATATATTTACGAGCGACTGATTTAGAGTAAACAAGTATGAAAGTTTGGTGCAAATAGGATGTACTTTAAGCTGGGTGTTTAATTGTAAAATTAATACAATATAATTAATATCTTAGTGGGATATGTCAGACCTGAATTAACATGGCGCATGCTCATCTGAGTCACGCGTCCAATGTTTTTGTTTTAAATGATAATGGCGTTTTATATAAAAGTTATATTTAAAGATCTTGACATATGTCAGCGTTGTGTCAAAAATTAACTGTAAGGAACTTTTAATATTCATAATGATTTACTTTATAAGGAATTTTCAATTTAAAATGCAAGACCAATTACGTTAATGCATAAACAGTAGTACCAGTTAACAACAATTTATGTACTATAATACAATAAGGAGCTTCATGGATTTTAATTTGGTTTCTTAATAATCCAATCTTTTAGTAATTTTGATATAAAAAACTGAAATGACTTTCAGCATTATGACGAAGTTGAAAGTCTACACTATGACATAATCAAAGACATTCCTAATAAAGGAACTTACATTATCAATTATATGCCATACTAATTAATTGTTTTTTTAGTTTTTATTTATTTTACAAGACTTAATATGTTTTTATTCCTTTCATTCTTAAATATGAATCAGTCGCTCGCAATAAACCATTGTAAAAGATATGTGTGTTTGATAAGTTACAACAATTAACATGTATAAAGGCTACTGCGCTTCATTTGCTACATTTACACTAAACAGTAAACATCTATAACACAACCATTACATTATCGTAAAGCATTCTCACTTAACTATGAATAAAATGATTTCATTCAAGCCTTCCGATTACTTATATTGTCATTTAGGAGTAATACAGAACTACCGTCTATTTAGAATTTTCATTATCAAAATATTTATTGTCACTAATTAACATTTATATTTGCACCTACTGACCACGGAGGCGTCAACGTTTTTGACTTTATATATTCAAGATGAAACGTTATTTCTATGATGTAATTCCCAGACTAATACTCAGAGATATTCATTATATCATTGTATTATCGATATGTAAAGACAAAAAAAGGAAAATTTCAAACTATATTCTATAACGCTCGAACCCAACAACCTATCTCAATACATAAACCACCATCTGAGATAGTAATCTAAATGTTGTAACAAGTGTGCCAATAACCAAACGACAGATTGTAATAGCCATCTGTCGATACAAGCTATCCATTGTATGAAAATGACAGTTGACGAAAGTTCGATTTCAACAGTTAATTATTTCAACAGATTTTAAATTTGAAAAAACGTTATTTCAACGTTATTTGTACGGTTTTATTTACTTTATTTGGTTTAAATTGATTATCAAATATGAGTGAAAACTCGGTAAAATGGAACGACAAAGAGCATTTTATCCGTCGCTAAAAATGGATTGTCTTCGTAGGGTTTGGTTATTGGGATGCAGATAGGAGATCAATCGAATGTCTCGGTCTGATCTCAGATTATTTTCAATCTGAGATTGTGGACTGATTATTGGGTTCGGGCGTAAGCCTACTAGTTCTTTCTGATCGACGAAATTAACCCCTTAATTGATTTTTAACAACGCAAAAATGTGATTGAATCGCTTAGAAATAGCGTTAGAACGTCTCTTGTGGTGCCCTCTCGTGGGCAGTAGGTCTTAGTTTAATCCCTACTTAGACCTAGACTTATCAAGAGCCAGAAACCGGCTGGCGCCGTCAGGCCCTGAACACGATACATTTCACTAATTGAAGTAACAGCGATTACCTACGGTATACGACATCTTATATATTTGTGTCTACCTTCGTATATTAACACTTAGTGCTGAACACTTAATATGTTCACAATAAAGCCAAATACCAATGCATTTCGTTTTATTTATATTTTATGTACTCGCCCTAACCAGTCTAGGAGAAGCAACTATAAGGGGGAATCAAATCAACAAACACACATTGGTATAAAAGACTGTAAGAAGAATGTTAATAAATAAATAAATAGGTTAAAAGGAGACTATAGCTGACTAATACCTATAACTAAAACTACGCTTAGACACACTTCATTCATTACTCATTACAACTCTAACTAAAAAACATCATAAATAATGTAATCTCAAAATTCAGTCACTACATCATCTAATGCTCGTTATAAAAAGGAAAATCTACATATTCGTAGATTATATTTAGTAGAAAACATTCGATACAAGTTCAATATAAAAATCTCAATAACACTAGTGGAAAGCTCGAGTTATAGATAGGGACTCATAAGAAGTCGACAACCTTTTGCGTACACACGGCAACTTACGCTAAGTAGCCAAAGTTTGAGGCCTTAGCGCGAATAAATAACGATATTTATATGAAAATCATAAGAATCCATGAATTTGGAACTAAACGGAAGGAACATGAAAAGTCGATACGTTGCAGCTTGGAAAAGTAATTCTCGTATGAAACTATTTTTAAGTACGTGGTAATTAAAGTTTAGACGCAAATTTTGATTCGATAATGCAAACGTTATGTGCCTCCAGCTTTAATTGACCAACTAACACTGATTTATCTTTAAAATTTATGAAATTAAAATTACATTACTAAGAATTTGAAATTATATGAAAATATTATTTATTCTTTTGTTTACGCGGTAACTTCATTTAAATAAAATGGCTAAATATAAATACTATAATTTATTATTGTCTTTCACGCGAATACTATACATTTAACTTTAACGGATGTAAACGCGAATTTGTTAATATTCATCTATTTTTTTAATAATTTGCAACTATCATAACCTCTCATAAATAAAATACTTTAAAAATATTGCCAATTTTAATTTAAAAATGAAAACAATATCTTTGTTCGTGTAATATACAGAGATTTTACTAAAGAAAACATATGGTCAATAATAACTAGAAAATGTGACCATTAAATATTTAATATATTCTCAAATCAATTCTATTCAAAAAGTGTATATGTTATTATATATTTAAATTCACGTTTATATACGTTAAAATGTTTTTTATTATATTTGCACACATTAAAATACCTATACATATCGGAGGGAAGACCCTTATTTCTAAAATCGTCTAAAAATTTATTTACTATCACTTTCATCATAGATACGTTGCCGCCTGTACAACTTTATATTAATTTTATTGTCAATATATGCAATACCTATTACAATAGCTTTGAGCATAGTTAGTTAACCTATACAGTAGAAAAATAAAAGTATGATTTTTTACAGTTGATATTGAGGAATCTTACAAGGTATTAAAAGAAAGAGGGGTTTAGTAACTCGTTAAACATATCTACTCTACATCTTATAACTATTAAAGCTATGTTACTATGACGCGTTAATCGCGTCTCATTTACATTCAACAAAGCTTACTCTACTATCGCAAACCATATGTAGACAGTATTTTTTAATCCCGTGAATTCAATAGCTGCGTTAAAATTATAGTATTACGATAAACACATACCCAGATATACGTTCTAACACTTAACACCAAATAAATAAAGATGCTTATAAAACCTTATAGTTATAGGCTAAAGCTCCACGACCCTACTTAAGCGATTTAGTGTATATTTAGTGACATCCCGAGAAAAATCGAGAGAAATAAGTCAAAGGTATATAAAAGTATTGACACGTTATGGTAAGTTAATCTTTCTTCATAATAAAGGTTTCGTAGTATCACAGCATCAAAATTTTGCTGTAGCAACACAGGGCAGACATGAAAGCTTTGCGTTTATACCTAGGGACCGTTTAAATACTTTACAATTTAATAAAAATATTTTTTTTTCTCCATTTTTTCCCCACACACATATTTTTACGAATAACTTTTATAAATGGGAATATAAGGTAAATTAATAATGACATTGAACGATGGACGTAGGTATTTGCCTCATAGTTGAGCAAAATGTTGGGTGTATATTGAGTGGGTGAGTCCGATATTCCTTTTGTCCTTTTATATATCATGTATATTATTTTATTGACTATAGGCTACTATGTATTAAAGGTGTAATTTTTAAATCCCATCTAGGGTTTACTTAATATATAAATAATGTAAATTTTAGAGTAAAAAATAAGACGCTTTGCCCTGTGTTCCTACGGCATGACGTCACTATAAACGAGTGATCCTTTAAAATATTATCTTTCCATACGTTAAGAATAATTTCCAATTAATATACTATACTACGATAATTTATTGTCATATTAAATATGTTTGCCACAGATTATTGTCAACAAATTCATTCACAGTCAAATATTATTGTCACGTCCATAATTAGTTGAAAACGCAACTATATAAATGGACATTTGAAACATGCAAAAATACCTTATTAACATTAATACACTCGCCTAATGACTTCGTATAATTTATTAAACTAAAAATCATTACCGTAGTTGCGCTTTCTGTTAACCAAATAGTCGAAACCTCATGTTTCTGATTCGGAGGGTGCTTTGTCGTCGTTGTACTGTTGTATCTGCCTCTGTATCCAGGGAATGTACTTGGGAACGAAGGCGTAGACACCTGGCAGACGGGGATGGGCACATTTTATTCCCCAAGATACAATACCTCCCACGTACCAACGCGACGGATCGTCCGGGTCCTTACATAGCAACGGACCACCCGAATCACCCTGAAATAGCGACTTATGTAGTAAGGCTTATGTATAAGCGTGTAAAGCCTGAACAAAGCCAGTTTTGAATGTTTATTGATGTAGCACAAGGAAGGAAAATATCGCGAGGAAACTGACGTGTCTTAACGAATGTGTCAAAAGGCTGATTACCAATTTGTCTTTAAATAAAGAAGCATAAGTGGCGAAGATTTGTCGTTATATGATAATAATAATAAGAGCATCTATTGCTGTAAAATACTAGTACATAGAATGAAAAGTTCTATAAACACTAATAATTTCTGTTTTACAGCTTATCCTTGAACATAGGCCTCCTCTAAGAGCTTCCACTCTTCTCGGTGTCGGTTATATGATACCGCTGCTCCTATTTGTGTGTATACGTTTTAAAGAAATGAGCAGCCTGGAGCAGTATTGGCCTAGTGGCTTCAGCGTGTGACTCTCATCCTTGATGATCCCCGGCTGTCCACCAATAGACTTTCTTTCTATGAGCGCATTTAACTTCCGCTTAACGGTTAGACCCAAAAAGTTGACAGCGTGTGTCAGGCAAGGAGGTTGATCACCTACTTGCCTTTAGATTGACAAATGATCATGAAACAGATTTAGAAATCTGAGGCCCAGTCCAAAAAAGGTTGTAGCGCCACTGATTTAGTTTTTAAAGAAAATGTGGTACAAGGCATTTACAGATATGTTTAAACGAAATTGATTTCACGCTGTAAAAAGCCAAGTCAGTGCTTTCAATGTAATAATAAGAGAATTTTCTTAAACTAACTATTTGATATCAATTCTGTTCCGGTTCTATTATAAAACGCAATAGAAACCATTAACTAACGGAACTGTATAATTCTAGACAGAAAATAAAAGTTATTTTCCAATACGCAATAAATGCAGTGCAATAAGTAGCGGAGTGTAGCTGACGGCAATATCTTTCCATGTTTGCAGGCATCGGAGCGTTCTAAACACACTAATAGCTCTAAGACCCACTCTGCCTCTCTTATAAGAGGCTTTCTCGTTGCATATGGATATCTTTTGTTCAACTAGGTAAGCTGTAATGGCCTTGTTCAGCACAGTATGTCTTAGGATTATATAATAAAGAATCTCTTTATTGAGAGTCGAAATTTTTTGAAGTTATACTTCTTTAGGCGCGTTATGAAAAATTGATGAGAGTGAAATTTTACGATGCGCGCGCACCGTGACACAAACTTAACAGAATGAAGTTGCCCACGGAAGATGCTACGGCATTGGACATAATTTAAAAACAACATTCGAATAATAATAGAATTTATGTTACACTTAATGTAAGAGAATAATAATCAATATTTATTTATTTAATTTTTCAAATGTAAACTGAACTTTATTGACTATAATGACTCCTTTTCCAGTCTTTGATTATTTAATTGTAATTCATTATTTGCATGCAATCAAAAACTATTTTTAATAATGCCAAAGAAGTATAACTTCCTACGCGCGTACATAAGTACACGCACCCTTTTTTAATCTGAGATACTTACGTGAACTATGAATCTTGTATGTCAAAATTCAATACATTTTTACGAGTGTTAGACGTTTCTGAATTGGCTTAGTCTTATGAGTGTTGTAAATATATTCTATGCCTTATAAACTCGTTGTAACTGTCGTTTTCAATAATTGTATTTATTTTTATAGCAGCTTGGTTTTGCGAAGTTTACGGACTCACGGAAAATATCTGGTATCTGATTTGTTTGTAATTATAGATTTTTTTAAATCTTGCAATTGTACAATTCATCCATGTGCATAAACTTACGCAATGTAACATTTATTCTATACCTTTATACTGTTTTAGGCCCGTTTATTTAGCTACTTAAGTACCTATAAACAGAACAAAGCTTTTTTAAATTCCGAATGAATAATCTTATTTTATTTTGTCATTAACAATTTGGAATATTTCTTTTATTTGCACAAATCACCAATGTAATACAAATTCTCTATATAATACTTTAATTAGACCATTTTATGAAATTGATATCAACTTGACGGTTATCCAATGAAAGAAAATAATATTGAATCTTTGATATCTATAAAGAAATTTCATTAAACATTACCCCAGAGATTTTCCTAAATAAATAAAAGTTTATGAAGGAAAAAATTATATAATGTCGGGGCCCTCGCAATTTCAAACACAACGAATTTATTAGATTTCATCTTCTGTAGTATTGTATTTGGACAACTAACAAACCGAATCATAATATATTTTGTATACTTCTTTTGTTACAGTAAATTAAATATTTTTGCACCGACGTCGAAAAACTTCTAGCCGTGGTATATAAATAAATTGATTAACACTGAATATATTTAATTGTCTTAGTAATAATTTAATATAATAATTCTTATTATTGTATTTTTTTGTGAATTTTAGTTGCACTGTACGGAATTTATTGTATATAATTTTCTGAACGGGATTCAAATGGGAACTGACCAACCATTAACTGAACATTTATTACAAACTATTTTTTATGTCTGCTTTCCATAGCTCCCTGTATGGGGCAGCCACGTCTCTTTTTGATTTATTTGCAAGTTCATGAACTTATGTTGTCTAAGACAAACCGTTTTCCACCTAATGCTTTCCTTCATAGTACGTGCTACCATTAATGCGCACAGCCCTAATCGGAACCCAAATTAATTAATTCTCACCTGGCAAGCATCCTTGCCACCTTCAGGATATCCTGCGCAGATCATCCCTTCAGTCACGTTAAGATCCCGATGTTCCAGCCACTGGTTACAAAGATCACGATTGAGGACAGGAACTTCCACCTCATTCACCGCCGGCTCGTATTCTGACACTGAAAAGGACTCAAAAATATGAAGTCTAGAATCACTTGTTATTTAAATAGTGTAGGGCTCGGTAAAATAACGACTCGTAGCAATTACGACTGTAACTGTCAATATAAAACCCGGGTGGTAAGTTATCTATATTTGTAGAGAGGCTCATCTTGTGTTGAATGATACCGTTACACAGACACTCACACTGATAGGATGCGTCGCGAGCCTTTTAAGAATTGGTACGCCCTTGAACCTAATTGGTTCGGAAATACTTCAGTAGGCAGCCAGCTGCTGGAACCAGTTCCACAGGGGTTGTGAGAAGAAAAAAGTGCATTACTCGCTACGTCTGCCATAGTGTCAATATATTCCACAGCGTACGTGATTTAGGAATATTTATTGGTCTTTTTCACACCTTGGCTTACACTATCCTAATTTCTGAAAATATTATATAGCCTATGTTCGCCAAGAATAATGTGATATATGTTATAAACATATAACATTAATGGTAAAAGAATTTCAAATCAGTCCTGTAGTTTGGGAGCCTATTCAAGCCAAACAAACAATCAAATAATTTCTCTTTATAATATTAGTGGATAATATCACAAGAAAAAACTCTCATTTAAATGAAAAAATGTAAGACGATGAATGTTTTCAAAATTTACATGCCATGTCATTAGCACAAGTAAAATGAATTCTAAACGAAAATTGCATATTAATAACAGAATCTTGAAAATCTTCACCGAGACAGTTTAATGTGCAATAAAATGCTAACTTTTCAACTCGTTACTGCTGGCCCCAGTCAGCCGACTAACTGCAGCACAAATGACCCGTAAACACATTACCGAGACTTAAATGTATCGCTGCCAACTCCTCAAATATTTCTACATTTATAATAGATATATTTTATATAAATATATGTATATCGTATGTTTAATAGATTGATAAAATTTTAGACTGTACAAGTGTACAGGCTTCTCCCTACTTTGATTCGACTTCAGGATAGGCATAGGTGATAGAATTTAGTAGAATTTGTATTTATTCGTTAACGTACAAAAGTCGTTGGAAATACAAATATTATGTTTTCCATATTAGTGTAAGCGTCGGAGATTTGAAAAGGGTAATGGTGGTGTATATGTATAGGTGGGATACTACTAAAAGTGGTATTTACAATAAAGAACTAATTGATTGTGTGTTTATAATAAACCAAAATGTTGGTAAGTTGTTCTTTTGTTTTACATCACATACATTAAATAAAAATCAGGGGTTTTCCGTTTATATATAAACTAACCCCATACGGAGTTATCGGCTAACAGGAAACCTAGCTTGGAGCTACATTTAGCTTTGTTTCGTTGCAATGGCCAATTAATATACTGTTTTAAGCTATGTAGATCCGAATTCTCTTTGAAATAGTTATGTGTTTTGCGAGTACGAACAATTAATGATCTTGAAATCTAAAATATATTTTATATATTTTATATTGTAACTGGTTTGTTTTCTTCGTATTCTATTATACAATATATACTTGCATTAATCTGTTTAATGTAAATTTTGTAATGTCAAATTTAATTGTGTTATTTTTTACAAGCAAATGAGCAGGAGGGTCGCCTAATGTTAAGTGATACCGCCCACTCATGGACTGTCTCAATGCCATAGAACCCATTTTTTCTGGCAGAACATTGGTTCGTTCGTGGTGTATTGTCAAGTGTTTGTATGTTTTTAAATTAATAAATAAAATATGCTATTATCTCTTTGCGATAATATGGTATGGTGTAGGTGAAATTCTCTTCGGTGATCGCGTAATACTGGTAGTATACTCACTGTCTTTATCAGTACGCTTTCCCCAGCCGATGACTGTACAAAGTGTTCCAGGTAAAAGGGCTCGTCGTGCAGGTGGTAAACATACCGGTGATAAGTGTTCATGGTATCGAACTCGAACAGCCAACTGAGTCCAAAAATTAAAACATATTTATAATTGTAAATCTTCCATAATGTTGCTACGGAAGATTTACCCATTTTATATGCCCGATTACTTCAAGTATAAATTTAAAGTTAAAGTGTCTAATCGAATCGTTTAAATAGAAAGAAACTTTGAAACTCCAATAGCGATCGGCGACCGACGTTGTTTAGTTTAATTTCGATGTATTTCTCTCAATATAGCGCTGTCGTTATCTTGGAATTGCGCAAAAACTAACTATTAAAGCCATTGGAAGTTTTAAGTGTTGCTTCATTTACTGTATTTAATAATAAACAAAAATATGCTAGAAAGTTTCTTATATTCTGTGCCGTAATTTTTGTAGGTGGCTAAGCTTCTGTAAAGAAAAAGTAATAAAAATACCTGAAACAAAGCGATGTCATTGTCATGCGCAACACCAACATTATATAGTGGATGTGGGACCACTCTTCGTACTTTCACTTTCTGCCCGTAATATGCATGACTTCGTCTACGCGTGATACCCAGCTGAATCGTCCATCCGTCGACGTCAGAATGACTAAAACAATTTTAACACCTTGTTAAAAACCAGTGGCAATACATCTACATTTGGGCCTCAGATTTCTGCATCTATTTGTGATATATAATACTCGAAACAGAACTAATCTAACCAGGCTCCAGAAGATAAACCATTCCTTAGATGGAAAGTGTATTCGTTTCGTTTACTCCCAAGCGAAATTAGAGAATTATCACTGAATAAATTTCAAACTCTCGTTAAACGTTAATTAATCAATAAAGCTTTTTATAAATTTGACGATTATTTAAATGATCCCTAATCCTTGGGATTGATTTCATCCAGTTCAAGCAATTTGCATGACTCAAAACTTGGCGATTAAAAAGAGTGGCGGAGAGTTTCTTGCCAGTTCTTCTTGTCCGCTCTACGCTCTTGACTTGCGAACTGGTAGTAAATGTAAATATATAATAAATTTAACATTTTTTTCTGTTAACTTTCATAAGTGTACATGAAGTTGAGTTGATATTCTTTTCCTAATAAGACAACGCCTGCTTGACACGTCTTCGACATTTGGGTCTAAGGTTTCCTCATGCTGTTTTCCTTCACGAGGGATTAAACACCAAATGAGCAAAGAAAAATACATTGGTGTATAGCCGGGGTTCGTCACCTTAATAATGAGCCTCGCACTCTAAAACTTGACTAAACTCTACATTCAAGTGTATTAAAAAAATGTACTAAATTACGCAGAACTTATTGTATATCGAATTTGAAATATTTAATTTAGGCTAATGGCATTTTAAAAGCGGAAATTTAAATTAAATTTCTATTAATTAAATTAATTGTAATGTTTTTAATAAATAATTTTGAGCATCAGGTAAGTAACAATCAACAAGTGTTCATAACACTTCAGACGTTAAGTTGAGACAATGAAAATATTTATTTAGAAATCTAACAAGACAATGTAAGCGTTATTAAAACAACATTGTTGCCTTGAGAAAATGTTTTATTTTACACAATAAAACGGCCGATAAAAGGTTCAGGTAAATGTTGGCATTCTATAGAAGACTGAGATATTTATTAAGTATCTTTTGTAAATTTAATTTAGAATACTTTACAATGAAATTTCTACACTTCATAAACAAACGCCTAAATAAATAAATAAATAAATCAGTGGCGCTACAACCTCTTTAGGTCTTGGCCTCAGATTTCTGAATCAGTTACATGATTTTTAAATCTAATAGGCAAGTAGGTGATCAGCCTTCAGTGCCTGACACACGCTGTCGATTTTTTGCGTCTAAGACATGTCGGTTTCCTCACGATATTTTTCTTCACCTAGAAAGTCCATTGGTGCACAGCCGGGGATCGGACCTACGACCTCAGGTACGAGAGTCGCACGCTGAAGCCACTAGGCCAACACTGCTCTAAACAAACGCCTACCAATTTTTAAATTAGATAGAAGAAGAGAGAAGAGAAATATGAGGTAAATATAAAAATTTCATAACTTACTTTCCAACACAATGTGAAGCTGTCAGTACCCACTGGTCAGCGACGAGTACTCCAGCACAGTAGAACACTTCTTCTGGTCCACCAAGAATTGCTGCAAGGAAGGGCCAGTCCCCTGGTGACGCTTCTACCCCTCCTACGATACGTTTTGTTGCTGGAGCTAGAGTACGACGTTTGCCACATTCTAAAAAAGGGTTATTATGTGAATTACTGTGTTGATTATCTGAAGTATCCAATATTCTTTATATACAAATATAAAGTATAAATCAACAATTGGTCACTGATTTGATTTGTCTACTCATTAGAGTAGATTATACCTAGTAAAGTAGATATTTTGATAGTAATTTAACATTTCAGTTTTACAAGTTCACTAGCCACGAAGGTCGCTCCGTTGTAATAAACTTTAAACGTTCAAATATTGTTTAAGCTTTCAAATGATTACTACTCCCAATCAAGGACAATACTTATTTGTGAACTTGAAACTAAAGTGCAGATTATATCTCCAAAATAAAAATTTAGACACCTCTTTCTATCCTCTTTAGCCTTTATGATCAACACCGGGTTATAATCCCATCCCATATATTATGTAATATATTGATGGCCTAAGGATAAAACTAAAGCAAAAGATGTCAACCTACTCGACAGAGTACAATTTCAGATCGGTCGGATTTAATTTACATTTGCGTGTTGTTCCCACGAGAATGTAAGTGCGTGCTCCTATTTCACCATGCCTCCTGCTGATAGAGGACAAATCTTTGTTTTTAATTTATTTTATTATTATTTATTACTTAAGATGTCATGTGGAACATGGTGTAATTTTTTTGTTGCAGCTCCTTACAAACGTGTAAAACAAAAAACTTGGCGATTAAAAAGATTGGCGGCGAGTTTATTGCCAGTTCTTCTCTTCCGTTCTACGCCCTTGATTTGAGAACTGGCAGTAAATGTAAAATGAGAAGCATTTCATGTATATTTCTTTTTTTTGACGTTCATAAGTGTATGTGGGCGCAAATTCATATATAATGATTATATTTTTACAAACACATAAAGATTGGTATTTATTTCAAGTAAGTATTTATTTGCTTCTATTATATATTTATATATGGGCGCAAACTCATATATAATGATTATTTTGTTACATAAATATAAAGATTGATATTTAATTCGAGTAAATAAATATATTCAAGATAATAATAAATAATATTAAGGATTGATAGTCTGTGGTATATTCATAGCATTTATTATTTATGTTTAAGGAATGGTGTTGATCAGCTGCTATTGTCATTCATCAACATTTGGTAATATCGGGGTAAAATTAGTTCAAAACCGTTATATGGTTTATTTTATTTACCATTATTAATGGATCTGCAAATTAACGACTATTTGATAGTCTGTAGTCTTTATTATAAATATTAAAGAAATTGTGTTAGTGTCAGCTGTCATTGTCATTGAATAATGTCAAAGTCGAATTGGTTCGAGGCCGTTAATACGAATGGTTTATTTAATTTGTTAATGTTGCTAGATCTATAAATTAACGACTATTCAATGGTTAATAATAATAATGACTCCATAGTCATTTATTATTATTATTGTTAAAAGGAGTTTATCATATTACTTTAAACATTTTAAACCTATTGATAATAAATATTAATCTTTGACACTCGTTTCTATGACTGCCGTTTGACTCTGTGGTCGATTCGGGTTCGGTCGTGGAACGAGTACACGAAATGTTACGAAACTTGTTTATCACAGATTCTGGTTGCTATATATATGGGAACTGGTGGGTGCGGCGCTTAGTTCGGTTGAGCGGCCGAACCAATCAGAAGCCTTTAAAAGTGGACTTTAATGTCGAAAGTAAATGGCTGGTGCCAACAAACTAATTTATGACGACAGTATTGCTGACGTCATTATCTTCAACAATTCATCGTGGAGTCTGGACACAATAATTATGGCGTTCAAACGCCGACAGCAGCGGTGGGATAACAGCCCCAAGAGACTTCTGAATCTTCGAATGGCACAACCTTCGTTATGTAACAAGTAATGGGTCTCTTGACCTCCATTAAGACTCCATTAAGACTGCTGCAACGAGAACTGAGATTGGTGCGCCAACGTGGACGAAAATATCACGAAACGGATGGTACTTTCACATGAATCTCGAATGAAGGCCATGCTGTAGTTACGAGGACGAGTTAAAACATGGGCCGACAGCTGGTTGTTGCATTCAACCAAGAGAACAAGTGAAGAAGGAGCTTATCCATACGTTTGGCAACGTGTTTCGGTATGTGAATGACGTGCAGAAATGGTGCAACTACAAGCGAGCTGCTACGCAGAGTACGCTACAACGGTATGGACGCTTTTTCAAAGGATCCGAGCAGTAGCTACCGACGCCGAGGTAATGGATGCGATGATCACAGGTATTTACTTATATTTTTGGTATTTATGAGTTTATTCGATCTGAATTGCTGAGTATTACCCTCCATTAACTTACTAAATAAGTATTCGTTTTTGAAACGTTTTGTAAACGTAAAATCGAAAATAGTTCACATGAGTCACGTGTTATGGTATCTTAAACGATCAAGAAATCCCAAAAATTAAGCTTATGTTATTTAGTAACAATCCAGTAAGAATTATTCCAGTTTTTGTGGCACTTTTAATAATGCTCAGGTTATTGAATGATTACTGTCATCGTCAGAATCACTTCGAGAAAAATTGCTACCGTCGTCAAAATGACGAACGTGACGCCCTAAATAAATGAAATAACTATTGTTCATCTGTTGAAGGTAGTACGAAAACTGTGATTGTTGGTAACAAACATTATTACTATCTTTTTATACTGGTGCAGATCGTTTCTTAATTCGAGAAAGCATTGCTGGTTTTAATTGTTAATGCTTGGTAAACGTAAACAAGTTGACGTACAGTTTATGGGCATTGAGGGTCAAAAGTTTATCTCAAAGCTAAGCATTACAGCTATGGTAGAAATCGATAGTGTCATTTTAGAGCTAGCGTTTTATGTAGTAGGTGACAGCTAAACTCAATTTGATATTTTAATACGGTTTAATCTTCTTTAAAAACAAACCCGGCCTAAGCGTTACTCTCAGCGAAAACGATGTCTATTAATCGTTAGTTTATTGAGTGTTCAAATTTGACGCCCCCTATTGAAATAAATACCAATTAATGAAATCTACAATATCATCAATGAGTTCAAAGATAATTTTACTTCTTCAAATCATGTCATACGGGTAACCGGTGAGCTAAAAATTCGATTTAAAAAAAAAAACAACCCGATAAAATTATACAGGGGAAATGGGGAGATGATTCGATATTTAAAAAAAAGGCATATTAAGAGATTGCTCTTCCCCATTCAGCATCTAATTTTATTAGTCAAGAAAAAGAACGGGACGCACCGACTTTGCGTTTATTTTCGCGTGTTAAATTCAAATACGTTTAGAGATAATTATCCTTTACCTTTAATTGCACACCAAATTAATAGATTAGGCAAAGCCCGTTATTACAGCTGCCTAGATATGGCAACTAGCTTTCACGGAATTCCTAAATTTATTTATTACATTTTTGGAAGATTTTCAGTCTTTTAAAGAAAAATTAAAGTTAATAAATTATGCTTACAATATAAAAAAAAAAAAAAAAAAAACAATTAATAACAAATATCTACCTAGAGATATTCCATAAATATCTTAGGGACATAGGAAGAATAAAATTAAAATTAATAATTATTTATAAAAAAAAACTACGAAACAGTTAAAACATTGCAATTAAGTATGAAAAAGCAGAAGATTTAAATTTATAACTATTCTAACGGAAATAGCCGGATGTGAGTGTGTCTCACAGTCATTTTATGAACAGAAAAGATCGATGTCAAACTGGGTTGAATATCGGTTGTAGGTCTGTACACTTCGAACCATGAATGTACTTACCAGAAGACTCTATTGAAAAACTTGCTTTCGTGACACATGATAGACAGTTTGAATATTTAGACATGCCTTTCGGTCAATTTATGTATTTTTTTTATTTTCCTCATCGCGAAAAGCGAAGAGAGCATTTTATAATGATCATGGTAAACATTCCATATGTTACAGATATGGCGAAGTAAGATTCAAATCAAAGTTGTCAATATAAATTTTAACCTGCCAATATTTTAAGACGTTTACTGTTCACAAATAAAATTGATTAGTCATAGTAGTGTAATGACATATCAATTTTGTATGAATACTCGATCCAAAACGCTTTCTCTTCAGCTCAGTTATATTCTAAACATCAAAAAACGGTTATGTTTGTCTACCGTACCTTGCGATTTCTTTGTACCCACTTTTCGGTCTTATTCTCTTTTGTTGGGTATTACTCATCACTATGTGAGTATTTTGTATCGATCATCATAATGAAGGATCGATGGGTAAATAAGATTTGAATCACAGTTTTGTAAATATAATTTTAAAATTGAACCTTCTAATATTTTTGACGTTGATTTGTTGAACATCAGGAATGTAATTTGATTTAAACCCCTAAAGTCGTAACAGTGTGACGACAAATATCATGGTTTTTGTGATACCATTTTACCGTAGGTGTTAATTTTTATTTATTTTTTAAAGAGAGATCGGTTTCCCGTATATTCTTATATTCTGTCATTTGTACAGCTTATAAGAAGAACTGTTTCATAATCCTTAACCTAGTTGTCAGCAGGCCGAGGCGGATTTGTTATTGTTGGCTGAATTACCAATTGAGGCAATTCTTTGAACGTCATTGTAAGTTACCAGTTCAGTCGAATTGACCGTATGGGCGGAAGATTCGTCAGAGACCGATTTACATGAGGAGGCTTCTGCCTCCTGATAACCTGACGTTGTTGGACCTAGGTAATTGCATTATATTTTTTATAACTTTCATGACGATAGATGATGTTTATTTTATGTATGCGCATTGATGCGTTTATACAAAATATTATATTTTGCCTATCCAAAACATCCTTCCTAAAACGCTGGCTGGCCACCATGCGTATCCTTGATCCTGGTCTGGTTGGCTAGATCTCGAAATGAGTGATGCCTTATGTGTTGGCTAGATCTCGAAATGAGTGATGCCTTATGTGTTGGCTAGATCTCGAAATGAGTGATGCCTTATGTGTTGGCTAGATCTCGAAATGAGTGATGCCTTATGTGTTGGCTAGATCTCGAAATGAGT